TCGCCTGGCTCCCTGCCTCAGCTCCTTTTTTAAGTTGGTGTTCCAGTCGCCTGTTGAAGAGGCGCTGGAGTCTGTTTGTTTTCCCCTGCGGCCACTCACTGCACTGGCTTAGAAGCGGCACTGGGGTTTGTCGCGCTTTTTTTTTTTTTTTTTTTTCCCTGGAATCTACTGTCCTGGTTCTCCGCTCAGTCAGTGTTCCAGTCGCCTGTTGAAGAGGCACCGGGATCTGTGTGTTTTCCCGTGCGGCGACTCACTGCGTTGGCTTAAACAGCAGCACTGAAATTCCTGGTGCTTTTTTTGTCCTGGAATCTACTGTCCTGGTTCCCTGTTCAGTCCCCTTTTTAAACAGATGAATGGGTGACTTCCCGTGGCTCCATTCACCAACCAAAAGGGCACCTGGACCAGTGTATTTTGTATGGAGAACCTCTGCGCCGGGGTGCTGACAAAGCTGCCACACGGGGCAAAGCAGCCATGCCAGCAGACACAGCCACGCTGGCCAAAACAGCCGCGCTGGCGACCTGTGGGGCTCCTCTGCCTGGGAATTTCCTAGTCGGTGGGCAATAAAAATGCAGCGTCCCCTCCCTCTCTGCACTTTCACTGGGAGCTGCAATCCTGAGCTGTTTCTAAATGGCCATCTTGGATGGATCGTCACATTTAGATTTTATAAAGGACATTAAGATATTTTTTAACTTTTGAAGAAATTTTGTATTAAAAGTTCTTTTGGATCTTTTTACTTTTTACAGTGTGGTGAATAGGACTTAGATTCTTTCTTAATCTACTGACATCTGTTGTCTGAAAAACACTGACCAAATAAGATATTCTTCAAACTTTGATATCATTTAAGAACAAGTAGCACTTTATTTTGTTATATTCTTATCCTCAAGACCACACACAGAAAAGCCGAATTCCATTTATTTTATAATTTTAGAGAGGCAATCACGACATATTTGAATATATGGTTTTAGACCACTAAGGCAGCTTATTCAGCTAGTATAGTATACTAGATTACTGCTTTTTTCCCACTGTAATGTGGGGATTTAGAGTTCGTAGTGAAAGTAATTGGGTATGTTCTCATAATTTGGAAATATTTGAAGAATGGACTAGGACCTATAGTATATGCACATATGTGAACATGAAATAATTTGTGGAAAAGGGAATTAAGACCTCACAGTTAGCCTCAATACTTAGTTCCCCACTTTGTGGCAATTCTTCAGCTTGAGCTGGAGGATAGACCATTGTCGTCCGGGGAAAAGATCAATCCAGATCCGTACCACTGGGGTGCTGTGCTCATGTATTGCATTTTTGGAGGCAGTCGTTTTTCTATTCTTTTGTTGGATAGTCATGGGTTGGATCATTTGACTGGATGGTGGCTGTGTAACAGCATTTAAGACTCTGAAAGTTATGCATTTGAGCTCTGCATCAAAAACAAAGACTAAGAGAAGAATCATTTTCAGAGTTTGCAGCCCTCATCTAAGCCAGGATTCAAGAACCCTAATTACCCCTCAAAGCCAGATCCCATTCCCATTCTCTAAGTACCTCTAGTACCTCTAGCACCTGATATAAGGGAATGGGCAAATTATCTAATTTCATATTTTATTTGTTTTTTTCCTGAATCTGCTTAGTAATATCAGAGATCCCAAAAAGGTTTGTAGAAGTAAAAGACAATACATATCTAACAGCTTTATTTTGAACTACTGCTCATTCAATTTCATGTACATCTTGGGCAAGCAGTTTTATGGCTTATAGATATCGTGTAGTTCTGCTAGTCAATAGTATGTAGGATTCTTCTCACTGCTGGAGTCTTTCATAGAGGATGAAAAAGAAATGCTTGGGGAAGAAGAGAGCTTTTTGGAATTCTCTTTCAGGAGTTAAAATTTGTATCCTCAAAATCTATAAAAATATGAAAAAAAATTATTTGGCAGTAAAAAAAAATTGGACTTCAATTGAGGTCAATTTTTTTCCTTTCCTTCTGTAGTTATATAGATAAATAGATAAATCCAGACTGGAAAACACTCTGTATGCATTGGAAACCCAGTGACTATGTAAGAAGAAGAGAATAAGCATTAGCTTCTTATATGACAAACTAAGCTGTTTTCTCAAGTTAACTTGATTTTATCAGACTATTGGTACAGTATGTCAAAAAGCAGTGGAGTTTTTTTCTCAACTTTGTCGTTGCTTTTCAGGTATCTGAAAACTGAAGAGTGGAGAATATGTTCAGGCAGGAAACACAAGGATTCTTTTAGAAATATGAGGTAGAAGGTGAGTAGGAAACTGAGCAAGTTGAAAGAAATTTAAATATATGTAAGCCAGTGTTTTAGTCAGATAGTTTAAGAAAATGTAAAGTAGGTTTTAGCCAAACCCCTTTCTTGGGAAAAAGCATAAAATATTAGTGGTAAGTTTTAGTCTTAAGTTTCAACCTTGTCTTTATTATTGTGAGGGAGGGGAATGGATGAATTTAAATAAAATTTGCATAGAGCATGATGATGATTAATTTATCATTCTAATCCTTTGCCGTTTTGGAGGTATACCTTTATATATACATAATAAATATGTTTTATTTATTCTGTTTTATATGAAACAGTATATAATTTTGAAGCTGACTAGTGAAGTGGCCGTTTTAGTTGCAGTTATTTTCTCTCTGAATCCATTGGAAAACATTTTAATAGATTTTCTTCCAAGATAGGCAAGCACTTGTAGGAGCAAAGCAAAGTGCTGGTATGCAATTTCAGAAATCTGTTGACTACATGTTCCCATATGTGTTCCAGGAAATTCACATTTGGATTTCAGTACAATTCAGAGTTATGGTAGCGCTATCCAACACTTTTTTGGATGGCAGTTTGCTTGATACCAACATGAGGCTTGCCAAACTCAGCAGGCCAAGTCCTAGTTTTGGAATATGTGGGAACTGAGAGATTGGCAGTTAAATGATGAAGGCCATATCACTTTCAGTCCTCTAAGGAAACAAATTCTACCTAATGGTCTAAAGGTCATTTTGAATATAACCAATAATCTTTTAAAAATAAAATGTCTCTTTGTGGCATATCATAGTACATATAACATTTAATAATAAAAATGTACTCTATTGCATTTCTTCTTGTGAATACTGTCTACAATGTTTTAGCTTTTCAGATTTAATTATAGCTGGCTAGACATGTACAAATATGCTTACCTTTAGAAATGATAACACACTAGTATTCATTGTGTATATGAAAAACAAGTTAGAAATTCATCTTATAGCTACTCTGTTTCAAAATTGCCCCAGTTTATGTGAACAGATTGGCATTAAACTCATTGAATATAGACCTTCACATCTTCTAGTAAAACACTGCTATTAACTTGGCAAAAAAATGGTGTGTTAAAATTACAATACACATAATAAAATAAGAAATTATAACTCACAGTTGACCAGCCTGTTTCTGTTCCTGAGAATACGCTATAAAATATAAGTTCTGGAGGAGACATCAAAGATTAATGATCAAGTGACCAGGGTTTATTTAGTAAAGGTAGAGCCAAGTCATTCAACATGAATTGCTGTCTATTCTATTCCTGTTTCTAAAGATCCAGATTATATGCCCTTTCTTCCTTGTCTGTTTCAATGTCTAACCACATAATGAAAAATTATACAATAACTCTATGGCTCCTCCTGCTAAGGTTTAAAACTATTCCTTCTAATGTTTTTAAAACCTTTCATTTTGTCATGATGTAGAACAATTGGTTAACATTCTCCTTGTAATAGCCTTCCACTCTTAAGAGAGTAGGTAAAACATCCACATCTTTGTCTTCAAACATCCAGCTTCTTTAATGGTATGCTGTAATAATTGTTTTTACTTTATTTAGTGGTTCTTTCTTGGCCTCTGGAAATTTCATTTTAATAACTCTTTCAAAAGTGGGAAAACAAAATTTTATAATACTGTTGAACTAAAACGTGAAAAAAGGCAGGTACATTATTTTCTGTTCTCTTATATACATAAGCCTGTATGTTTATGGTTTTATTATGCTTACTTTTTCTATTAATAGGCTATTTAGCCTCTCAGCCATTGTGATTGATATATCTTTTGTTTTTTCTGCCTTTCTGGTGCTCTACTAGACTTCATCCATCTTATATCTGTTTATATAGAAGGAAAAATTCTGGACGCGTTAGTAAAACTATGTGACTTATCAGTATCCTATGTCTGTTGTAAAATTTAGGTAATTTAAGGCCCATATCCTGCTGTTAAGTAAAAGGATGAATTTAGCGTCTTTGTAAATCCTGCAATCCATGTTATTTATGTAATTAATTTTCTCAGATAACCATTTTTATTCCAATTTTATTACTTAAAAATATTAAATGAGAGGCTGAATCACTTGCCCACTTGTCTTATTAGATAGAGACATCTGAAAACCTTTGCACCACTGCCCTTCCCACAAGACCACATTGCTAATATTTCACTTTGTGTAGATAAAGCCTTGGAATCTTAATGCTTCACTGTTTGTTTTTTAAAAAGTACTCTATCAAATGCAGTGCAAATTTTGGAGAAATAAATACTATACTACATTTTAATGAAGTAAAAATAATATCTCAATGCTATTATGCTATCATTAGAAGCTTGACCTGTGAATGATTGCGTACAATCAATTGAGATGATTCCTTTTGGGACCAACCTTATTATCCAGAGGTTAGTGTTCTGGGATCAGTGTGGGTATGAAGGTTTATAATGATACAAAAAAGATTTCCTGACAATGAAATCTCTGGGACTAGAGCTTATGATTATCAACTTGATGTGTTTTCTATATTTTTCTCCCAGCAATTACATTTACTAGATAATCTAGGTGTAATCCTACCTAGAATCAGGCAGTGTGCTAATCACCTTTGAAAGACTTTTTAGTCTATGGTTTTGTAAAGCTGAGTAATCAAGGAAATGGTAATTTTAACAAAATGCTTTTCAATCCACCAAAGTTATTTGTTTCCAGAATGTTAGTGTTATGCTACATGATGATAAAAGAAAAGATCACAAATCTGTTAGTTGAGATATCACTTCTATGAAATCTATATTATAGTGTCTTTTGAAGTCCCAGCTTTAGTGAGGACCACAGATACAACTCTACTTATTAATATCACCCAGATATGATATTTCCTTCTAAATATAAGACATTAATTGGCATTGCAGGGAAATCTATTTTAAATACTTCTGTGGTGTTGAGATGCACTGTGGGGTTCGTGCTTCTGAAATACAAAGCACAATACCAAGGATGAAACTTTGAAAAATATTTTAGATCAATGATGTCACAAAAATTTTCACTTTCTTTTGGAATGTTTAAAACATTTATTTTTAATAATATCTAATAATAACTTTCCTTTTCACCATGTGCCATTAGTCTAAATAAATAAAAAAATAATAAATCAGCTGAATTTTGTTTGCTAACAGAAATAAAAGAAAAATAGAACTTATAGATATGCCATCTGATTTCTTTTAGGCATATGGCCTACTTTCTTTCTGCCCCCAGATTAATACATTAATTCACAAGGCTGTTATTTATTAAGATGTATGAATTGGTAGTTTACATTGAAGATTTAGTATTCTAATGCCACATGATACAAAGGTCTGTAATGAGCATTGAAACTTTTTTTTTTAATTCATAGGATGTGAATTGCTAATTGGTAAACTATATTTAGTCAACCTGTATATGAGTCATTTAAAAGTTTTCATTGATTAGGCACAACAGAAGGAAGGCTGTAGACAGTGATTTTTATTTTAATGCCAAACTAAATGGCTCATTTCTTTTAGGCAAAATTTCATAAACAAATATGTTTAAAATTGCCTGGCATGAAGAAAAAGGAAGCTAAATTTGTCAGAAAATTAAAAGATAAAGTAAAGCCAGTTTACACTTAGATATTTCTCAAAATTAATCTTTCCATACCATATGTTCTTACATAAAACAATCAGATATATCTGTATCATGGTCAATTTTTGACTCTTGCCCAGTTGAAATTGGTTTTCCACCAACTCTGCTGAAGGCCAAGGCCATGGCCCTTATAACTTAAGCCAAATCAGACAACAAGCAGCCTCTTTGGCTCCTTGGCTGGTGGAAAGACTTTGTAATGTTATAACCTCAGTTTGAGCAAAAATACAGCTTGAAATTATAGTGTCTCCTGGATTTCTTCACCCAGTTTTGTCTACAAATGGAAATAAATTTATATACTTACTGTGTAATAGAGACATAATTTCATAAAGTGTTTTTAATGTTTCTAAGAATAAAAAAATTAATAATTGTGTGGAAGTTACCATAACAATTTTAAGCTCACTGACCTTTTATTTTTTTCAAATTATCAATTTTGGTTTTGTTCTGTTTTCATTTTATTTTATTCCCACCGGGGAGCTGGAGCCTGAATTGCACATTTTCTAGTGTTGAGTGTTCAGTTTATAATGCTAATATTTCTGCAGGACCCAAAACAAAGTGAAATAAGTTTATAGTAGAAGGTTAGCTTTAGAAAACATTGTGCTAATTGTCTCTATTTAAGCAGGTATATAGCACTGGAGTGTAGACTTAGAAAATAGAATTCAAATTTAAAAACACTTTCATATAATGGATATTTATTAATTAATTGGAAAACCATGGGAGATTGACCTTTTTTTTCTTCTAACAGAGAGACTTTTAAAATTTCCATGATTTTATGTTATTCTCTCATTATTAGTAATCATCCTGGAAGAAAATGTGATGTTAATGCCCAGTAAAATGTAGTCTCTCTCTCACTCTCTCTCTCTCTTCCCTCTTCAGATAATCTCTTTGTATTTACTTTTCACATTTTATTTTATACATTGCAAGTTAAATACCTTTCTTAAGGGCTTTTCTTATTATATAAACCTAAATTGGGCTAAATAAATTAAGAAACATATATGAAATATTTCATTTGGATATAAACCTTAAATAAGAATGTAGCCGAATGATATGTGACAGATTGAAAACTAAATAAAGGGCTCCAAATGACTAAGGTAAAGTATAGAAAGGGTCTTATCTGATCTCACATGACACAGAAAGAAATCTATTTGCTGATTGAAAAAAAGGATCACATATTAACATCTGGACTTCATGTGGATACAGTGTTTGCTTAACAATTAGCAGCAGTGCCTGTTCAGCTACATTCCTACATCTGGGAACAAAACATCATAAGAACTAAAAATAAAGACAAGGAGAAAATAAAAAAATTGCTTGCTGTAAAATAGCACAGTTACTCTACATTATAAATTAAAGGGATTTGTCACCCTGTTTGGGAGTAAAAACATACTTTTTGCAATAGATATACCCCAGATACTACCCACAGAAGCCCTATAAACTGACATTTTGTTATATATTTAGGGGAAAATATTATAATTTTATATCATGACTAAATGAGTTAGGGCTTAAAGAATCATTAAAAATATTTCAAAGCATTTGCACACTGATGCACTTTTAATTAAATAGAATATAGCAATATCAATTGATAGAATAATTGTTTCCTTAAGACATAATACACAAGAACTGTTTAAACTGTATTACATACTTTGAAGAAAGTAGCCTAGATAGGTACAAACATACATTGGTAATTTTTGGCTAGCAAATGTATATATTTTTGTTATGCTTACAAGGAGAAAAATTATAGACTATCAACCACCCTAGATGATCTGCATTTTTTTCTCCTACTAAGAAGGGCAAAATAAATATTTACCTATGCCTAAGAACAATCTGATACTGGCAGTTTTCCTAGACTGTAATGCAGATTTGTATTTTCTGTTAAATTGCAGATTCTATGGAAGATACATTCTATAGTTTCTCTGAAGTATTGTATCATATGTACCACATGTTTTCTGATGCAGCTTATCTTTTAATTGGCTGGAGAATAAGCCCATATGGTAAACACAAGCAGGGCCTATAGTTCATCGTAGGGATGAAAATATTCTCCAGAGATTTGAATTTTGCTTGTCAGAACCCTCTGGGCCCACTTGAAAGAGGTTGGTCATTGTCTCTGACATTGGCCCAATAACCCTAGAGCAAGAAGGAAGCCTGAAAACTCTGATCTATCAGACTTGGTTATGCATGTGTGAGGGTGGCTCTGGGAGTTCTCAGGATAAGAGGAGTTTTTTTCCCCCCTCTTCCTTGATTTTGGCTATTATTTCTTTATTATATTGAAAGTTTTCAGTCTATCAATCAATTGCTACTGTTCTAAACAACTGACCACTAATATTTGTACCAAATTGATTATTTGGCCACTTGAAGACAACTGTAGTTTACCAACACTAAGAAATTTTGAAATATACCTCCTTTTTTAGGCGAATGGAGCCAAGGATTTCTAACCACTCACTTTTGGCCTTCTTATACTTCAGGCCATTTCAGAATTCTGTCACCAAGATCATGGTGTTCCCCGGGCATCATTATATGTTCTTCATACTTTCCATATCATATTCAAATCATTCACCCATACCTTCAAGTTCCTAACCTCTACCTTCATCTCTTTCCACACTTCCATATTCTTCAATTCATAGTTTTCACAAATTTTATTTGTCCGTTTGATTTCTTTGCCATTTTGATTGCAAACAGAATTATGAAATGTCTGTCAGATCATTTTTGATAGTCCACATTTAATGAGCTGATGCATTTATCAACAGATCTACCTCTAGTAATCAAAAGTCTCTCAGTCTTCATTGAGTCTATTTATATTTAAATGATTGTATATTATATGTATGGCTGCCTAGAAATAAGGAAGAAGACTTTTAAAGAAGGGAATTCATTCATAGGTGAGAGCATGAATAAATACAGTTTGTATAATTTCTTAAGCTCTAAAAGTAGCCACAGCAATATATAGTTTGTATAATTCCTTAAACTCTAGAACTACTCATAAGCAATGAACACTGAACTAAAAAGAGAAAAGACAGTATAGTTTCCATCTTAAAAAATAGGAATGTCAGAATCTGACTCTATTGTATTGCAAGTGCCACTGGGGGTTATTATTTTGTAAAAAATAATTTAATGACATTTATGTTGTTTTTACCCTTTTTTAAAGTAGCATCTAACACATTCTAAATATTCATCAAAAGATAATTTTTTTAATTTTAATAAATTTAAAGGTAATCTAGAAGTAAACTATAGACCTAATTAAAGAAATATATAATAATGTATAAAGAACATGTTATAGATGGCTACAGAAGAATAAAGGATCATATCAAACAAATGGAACATGTGTCTGCAAAATCAGCTTATTTTCATAAAGGTCAGATTAGATGAGGTATTTTAGCAGATATATGCCTTCTAAAAAGTCATCCTTCTGCTATATTTGGCATTATAGATAAATTAGAATATAGAGCCTAGTTTAATAACATTTTAATAGAGGATTTGGAAAGACTGGAGAAGCCTAGTAAAGATGATTAAAGGTATTCAGAAGGAATGGTATTCAGTCCATTTGAGGAGGGCTGGAAGTGTTAGCTGTGTTTGTGTTAGAGAGGGAAAACATAGGTTGCTTTTAAGTACTTTTAATTACTTTAGAACACAATGGAAGATATTTATTTACCTAATAGGAATTTGACTCCCTTCTAACATAATTTTTATACGATAGAAACTAGAAGACTAATGTCACACATCTCAGAATCCTTTGCAGTACAGCAGATTCTGTTCATGGTCTACATTCTTCCAAGCAGATATACCCAATTAAGATTGGCAGGTGGAAATGAGCAGTAGTGGTTATGTGAAGAAGATCTGGTCAGCTGGCAATCCTGATAGTGGAGGCATTTAGTTCTTTTATGGCTACCAATGATCTAATTTTCTAGTAGCCAGTCCCTGGTGTTTTAGGTGTTAAGCAGCAAGATGAGAGCTGTTTAGCTGTCACATGGATGCTAAACTAACCCATAAAATTTGGGCATTTTCCTTCTGTTCTTGACTCTGTAGTAACCAAACAGAATTTATTCTTCTCCCAGAGATTCCGTAAACTGCCTAACTTCCCCCCATCCCCTGCCAAAATAATCGTCTTTCTTCTAAAACTAGGATAGTAGATTACTTTTCCTTTTTTAAAAAATGTTTTAAAATTTCAATAGGTTTTTGGGGAACAGGTGATGTTGGGTTACATGAATAAGTTTAGTGGTGATTTCTGAGATTTTGGTACATCCATCACCCAAGCAGTGTACACTGTGCCCAAAGTTTAGTCTTTTATCCCTCACCCCTCATCCACCCCTTCCTCCGGGTACCTAAAGTCCTTTGTATCATTCTCATGCCTTTGTGTCCTCATGGTTTAGCTTCCATTTATAAGTGAGAATATACAATGTGTGGTTTTTCATTCCTGAGCTATTTCATTTAGAATAATTGTCTCCAATTCCATCCAGGTTGCTGTGAATGCAATTATTTCATTCCTTTTATGGCTCAGTAGTATTCCATGGCATATATATGCCATGTTTTCTTTATCTACTCATTGACTGATGGGCTGGTTCCATATTTTGGTAGCTGTAAATTGTGCTGCTATAAACGTGTGTGCAAGTATCTTTTGCATATGATGACTTCTTTTCCTCTGGGTAGATACACTGTAGTGAGACTGCTGGATTAAATAGTAGTTCTACTTTGAATTCTTTAGGGAATCTCCACACTTTTTTTTCATAGTGGTTGTAGTAGTTTACATTCACACCAACAGTGTAAAAGTGTATACTTTTTACCACATCCATGCCAACATCTATTATTTTTTTGATTTTTTGTTTATGGCCACTCTTGCAGGAGTAAGGTGGAATCGCATTGTGGTTTTGATTTGCATTTCCCTGATCATTAGTGATGTTGAGCATTTTTTCACATTTGTTGGCCATTCATATATCTTCTTTTGAGAATTGTTTATTCATGATCATAGCCCTTTTTTGATGGGATTGTTCATTTTATTCTTGCTGATTTGTTTTAGTTCCTTGAAGATTCTGGATGTTAGTCCTTAAATACATGGGACATAATTACACTAAAAAGCTTCTGCACAGCAAAAGAAATAATCAGCAGAGTAAACAGACAACCAACAGAATGGGAGAAGATCTTCACAATCTATGGATTAGTTTGTATGTGAGTAAGTTTTCTGCTTGCTACAGCTATTAGTCAAATTTCTTTGTGATAATAACTAGTGAATATTTTTTTACATGCCACCATTTAAAATACTATCTCACTTAATCTTTACCTCTACTTCATGAGCCTCTAAGTTTCCTCCAAACATCCAATGTTTACTCACAAGAAGATAGTCAAATCTAGGCCTCTCTTGACATGACCATATCTAAGAAGGATGGATAAAGAAAATGGGTTCAAATATAAGTCAAAAAGAAGTCACTTTAGGCATAAAAATATGCAGCTTAATAGGATAGTAATTGTGTCTATGGAATAAATTAGTAAACTCAAAGTTTTATCACTGAACATCCTTAAAATGGCAGGGTTGGTGCCAGGGAATCATTTGTTAGACCAGACCTCATCTGACATAGTTTTTAGCATTTCAGTTCTTTATTTTTTTATATAGAATTCCTAAATTTCTATTTGATCACTGTGATCTGATGTTATTGTCTTCATAGTGATACTATAAGTTTATGACAATGTGATTAGTTAACAGAATAGTGAGATTTTTATAGCCAGCTGTTTATTTTCTCTAAGAAATGAAACTACAAAATATTTGATATTTAATAGTAATTCCTTAATATCATTATATATCCAAAAAGTGTTAAAATTTTCTCAATTGCTTCATAAATTTTTTTAAGACTTAGTTTTTTCAAATCAGAGTTCAAAGTATATATATTGCAATTGTTTGACATGTATCTGAAGTCTCTATTGATCTGTAAGCTTCCTTCACCCCAAATTCCCCCTTGCAGTTTATTTGTAGAAGAAACTGAGTAATTTGTCCAGAAGAATTCCCACCGTCTGGATTTTGCTCATTGCATTCCTGTAGAGTTATTCAATGTGTTATTCTTTTTTCTGTGTTTTCTGTAAACTAGCGGGATTTGGAAACTTTTTCAAATTCAGGTTCGATTTGTTTTTGCATAACAAAAATACTTCATAGATGGTAATGTGTATTTTTATCAGGAGGCACATGTCTGGTTGTTTCTTTTAGATCCTTTATTTCATTCAGGACTGGTGATAGTCTAACTCTATGGTACCTTCATTTATTATCTAACAACTTCTGTAAGGTAACTAGTAAGTTTATTCTGTTTTCTATATTCTCTTTTCTTTCTCCCTGCACTTCTTTATAATTGTGCTATATGAACATTATTATGACATGTAGCCATTATACATTATAATGCTTTTCTTACATTTATTATTTAGTCTTGATTCTATAGCTAAATAAGTATTTAATTATTACTGCTGCTCCTTATGTGTGATCCTTATTGTCTCCTCTCCAGTCATTTGGGTGTCTGAAGTTTGTTCTGTAGTAGAATATTCTGGGAAAGCTCCATAGGGCAATACTTCTTGAGTTCTTATGTGTTCACAAAAAGTTCAACATTTTTATTTGTAGGTCACTCAGACTTCATATAAAGTCATTGGCTCACATTTTCTTTCCTTGAGACTCTCAAATATATTAAGATATTTCATTGACTTCTGTCATAAAGCATTGCTGTTAATAAGTATGACATCTGTCAGGTCTTTTTTCTCCTTTATAAGTGACTTGGTCTTTTTGTTTAGTCACTGAAAGGATCTTTTTAATATTTTCTTAAAAGTCAGTTATACTAGAATATATCTCACTGTGGTCTCTCCTGGTTAAATTTTTCTAGGTTATGGTTTGTTCTTTCCATATACATGTAGCTTAACGTTTTTATTTATTTCAGAAAAGTTCTCCTGAATTTACATTTTGGTATGGATTATATTCTATTGCTTTAGGTGTCTTCTTTGGAGACTTCTACTACATATGTGTTTGATTTTTGCTTGCCTTTTTCTATCTCTCATCACTTTGTTTTAAGTTGTTTTCCTATATTTACTTTTATATTTTACTTAAATTTCCCTTTTTTTATATTCTGTTTTATAAGGCATTATCCATGTATCCAAATGCTTTTTTTCACTATTCAAATACATTTATTTGTTTTTGTATTCCTTTTAGTTTAGGCATCATTTCTGATGAGTTTTTTTTTTTTTAATTTCTAAGTCTTTCTTGAGTTTTCTTCCCTTTCTTTACACATATTCCTTTTTTTCCCTTCAGCTCATTTCTGTTTCTAATTTTTCTGATATTCTTTCATAGTTTCTATTATTTTAAAAAATCTTTGTTTATTTTGAAATATTAGGAAATATTTTTATCTGTTTTGTGGGATGTTTCCTGGAGTTCCTCTATTATCTACATGAATATTATTCTTTTTCCTTACAAAAATGTAATATGTGACCTGTCCACAATGCATCCCTCTTGCTGATTTTAAGTGAGAAGGGTTTTCTTGTATTCAATGAAAAGGAGGGTCAGATGAGTCTTCCCTCTTCGTGGCTCTGGATTTCTCCTCCATACTTCTATTCTGGAGCTTGTCTTTTCTTTGCCTTTAATGTCTCCACTCTGCTTCTACTTAGATTTTCTTCCAAGGCATTTCTTTTTTGGTTGGGCATTTGTTTTGAAAGGAGACATTCAAAACAAATTATGTTGGTCAAGACTCCCCTGCATCATCTTTCTGTTCTATGCTCCCTTGAACTCACTCATGAATCATAGCCTTCAAATGTCTTCAAATTGACTCAGTGAGCTTTCATCACTAGTTAGGACACCTTATGTTGAGGGTAAATATCTGTTAGAAATTTGACTTCTGGATCTCAAACTCACCAGAAGTGCTTTTCTCTTCTCTCTTCTTTCTCTCGTACAGGTGCTGATTCCATGTGGACCTGATATCAGGTCAAGTTTTGATATTGCAGGAACACTCTTTTTGTGAATTCGGCTATAGATGTTGACAGTAAAATTTTGTATTGTCATTCTAGCTTCTTTGTTTTCACTGAAGATTTGGAAAGATTAGAATATCAGGCCAGTATAGCCTATACTATCCTGCTAGAAACCAGTAATCAGCTTATTCTTAATCTTATTTTATAACTGTAAGAGGATTTGCACTCTTTTCCTTGAAGAGTTAATTAACAATCATTTTGTATATTTGGGGCTAGAAGTTTATAAATTTAACTATATGCTTTTTTGAGGTCCTTGCCATTGTTATATCCTACCATATAATTTAGTCATTTTAGAAAGGCAGTTACCTAAATAAATTTTTAACTAATAGAAAGTGTGCTCTTTGTAAATGTATATGTATGCACACAAATTTACAATATATAATACATGTCTATACAGTATATACATTAATAAAAACATAACAGAAATTGATTCAGTTTACAAATTTTAGAGTTTCTTTAAATTAAAAAAGTGAATTTGTTTTGCTTATAAAAGACTAAAATTGGAATGTATTCCTATTTTAATTGTTTTCCTTTTATCCTAAATGTTTTCTTCTCACCTAATAAAAAGGGAAGGAATGTTTAGCCAAGCTCGAGACCCATTTGGATCTGTGGTTTCTAAACTTCAAGCCCAAACTGAACACTTTGGAGTTTAACCATGTTTTCTTTTAGCTAAAATGGCTTCCTTTTCTAAGAAAGGATAAAAACAAATTCCAAAAGTCAATTGAAATGATCACAAGTCTTTTGTAGCTGGTTTTATAAATTCAGAAAAGGGGTAGTAAACTGAGACAAATGTCCTTGGGAAAAAGGCTGCTAGGACTTGGCCAAAGAGTGTTTGAAAAACCCTGTTGCTGGAGATATATAATGAACCCCAAATACGTGCAGTTTTTGTGTTTTTCCTTCTTATAATTTTGTTGTACTTATTCCCACAGCCAACTTCAAATGACCCCCTCCCTGCACACCCCCCAAGAAAAAAAACAGTGCAGCTGAAAAGTTTGCTTAAACTTCTTAATACTTTTAATCCTTACTTGTTATAATTTGATTACTGAGACAGATTTTCTCTGTGGGCCTCCTATTAAATCACTTTCAAGTTGAAACAAACCAGAAATCCTTTTAAATAACAGAGCTAGTGTTCACTTTAAGCTGCTCAGAATTTATACAGAAACTGTAGAATGTCTCTTCTAAAGTGCTGTAAATATGCCCAGAGGCTACTGTGATGGGTTTATCCTTCCAACCTAACCAAAAATAAAATGAGTAAATGAAGGTACTTGATGTTCTGGGTTATAAAGTAGAGGACAATGTTACTCAGGCTTATATCTGATTTTATTTATTTCCATGTTATTAGATATCAACACAGATAAAGTTACTTGAAATTAACATTGTAGGTAGTTTTTTCTCTATGCACTCAATAGCACAGAGTGTTTGGTTTGATATTGTCAGGATCTGGTCCAAAACAATCTTTATATTATATATTTTAACATAAAAAATAAACACTTTAACCTTGTTTAAATGATTTTTTCCCCTCTATTTTGGGGTAGTTTCAGAATATCCAGGTATGATACAGATCTTTTGCCTCTAAGAAGCTATTTTGAATTATTCACCTGGAAGGAGTAACCCAAACTAGAAAATTTATAACAGCTGAGGCCTACCAGCTGTTATGAGGGGCTGAGTGTGGAGTGGAAAGAACAATAAGTACTGTAATTCTCAACTTTTTGTGTGCATAGACATTTCCAGGGGCTAGAAATAAATGCAAGGACTTAGCTCCAGAGATTTAGATTTAGATTAAGCTTAGAATAATGCCCAAGAATTTGCATTTTACACATGTGATACTGCAAGTTGTCTTCAGACCTTAATTTGATAAATAACTTTATTAGAATTTTAGATGCCAGGCAAAAAAATCTAAGCACAATTTTGAGCTTTAGTAGTCAAGAGAGGATTGTTTTTTGAAAAAGAAAATTATCAGTTTTCTAAACAGTGGCAAATAAATAGTTGGGATAAATAGAAGCAAAAATTATGAAAATGACAGGTAGCTTGATGGTTGAAGAAGACTGATTAAATAGAGAATGGAAGTATGTATAGTAAACAACAAGGAACTTAACACTAATTTCACATGAAACACAAAGAGGAATTTGTAGATATTACTACTGAAATAGATAC